TCAACAACATGGCTCGTGTCATCATGAGAACCACGACAAAGGGTTGCCCAGAGCTCACGTTAGCCAGCCAGAAAAACAGGGCTGTGAAACAAAATTGTTACTGAGAATAAMTTCTGAAAGCAGAGTGTGAGAGAGTGCATGATTCTTCAGTCCTCTCAATCTGCTATGCTGACATGGGGAACACCTCTGTTGGAGAAAAAAGGGAAATACAAATTCTGAAAGTTTCAGCTCCACGCCTAAAACCTTCTCAAACATTATCTTTGCATGGCCATCAACACACAAGCAGGAGCAGAGCTTATAGAGAGCAATACCTGGTCCACTGGTACTTTCTCATGCTGGTTTATGAGTAGTGACTCCTGCATGGTTATTTTCTGGATGTGCTTTCACACTACCAGGAACGTGACTCATCAGAACAATGTTCTCAGAAATATATTTTTCATGTTTGTGCAAGTGGGATGAAATTGCAGAAAATTCACAAGTACAGGATGCTCTCTTCTGGATATAAAGCCTGGTGTTTTATTCTGGTAAAATAATTAATGTAAGGTAATCTTATCAGCTTAGCACCAGCTCCTTTGACTATTCTATGGAAGGTGTTACAGGGCTGAAAGTAATGTTTATTTCCTGTCACTGAATGCAAGAGCTGAAGTGTTAGTCCTTGTTTAGGGCCAAAAAACTGCACACCCCTACCCCAAAACCACATATGGCCAAGTAAGCCTCACCCTAGCTTGGCCTAAGAACAGATATGGCATGCTGGAGGCATGGCCAAAACTCACCAGATGCTGCAAGCATATGATTCCTCCATGAGAGTTTATGTGGTACAGCTGTCTTTAAATGTTTCTGTAATTGAAAAGGCTCTAGCATCTGGTCTTTTGCTTATTACTCTTAGAACAAATAGTCATGATCTGAAGTCTACTTTTAAATAATGCCGGGGAAAAAAAAATAAAATTGAGCTGCTAAGGGTATATTCCTCTCAGATGACCTGCTTGGTAAAAATGGAAGTAAACTCTGTTATTAAAAAAAGAAAAAAGAAAAAGGAAGTGGAAAGCAGCTCTAGTAGGGAATGATATATGTAGGCATCCAAGCAGCTTTATAACTTTAAATGCAGACAGATGAAAAAGCAGTGTACATAGGTTTGATACCTTTCAGCTAGAGAGTGTATTACTCTTCCCTTTCCACGTTTTTGTGTAACTCAACTCCACCACCAACAGTTGCAGACTTGCTGCTGTCATGAGGAAAACAGAATATGCCCTATGGTACCCCCTGCAAAAACCCTTCCCTGGACCAGTTCTCCCTTGGATAACACTTGTGGGGTTCCCCCTGATTTCAGTTACTCCCAGACAATACTCCTGAAGAACAGCAGACTTTTGCACTCACTAATTCAGATTTATGGATTAACACTGTTACACTATGATCATTTATTTAGGCAAACCTCCTTTGAAATCCTGTATTGAATAAATAAGATTCATAATAATTCCTTTTTTTTCTTTTCTTTCCTGTGATTTTTTTCTTTGGTTCTTTTGTGTGTGTGTGTGTGTGTGTCTCCCTAAATTCTGGAACAACTAGGTGATTTAATCCTCTGTGAAGGCACCTTTGGAATGGTGAGTAATCTGACATATTATGTGACTTGAACTAGGCTGAGTAAAGGACAGAATTTCATTATTTGCCTGTTTAAGGCTGACAAACTATTTTAGAGGAAGATTTAGTCTGGAACTGCATTTCTGTAGAGCTAGCTAGCTTCTCGACCACATCCTAAGCTGCATATCATGATTGGATGCCACAAAGCAAGGCCTTAATTATTGTGATTGAAAAAGGTGGTTTCAGAATGGTTAGCGTTTTGAGAGGCTGAGATAACCTTAAAGAAAAATCAAAATAAAAGCGACTGTAGCTCTCCCAAGCTCTTCAAAGCA